ATTAGATTTCTTATGTTTCGAATTTTTTCTAGAGCAACACTAGTAAATTTTGAAAAAGTCTAATGAGCGTATGCAAGACATTCGATTATCTCATCAGTTTCTATTGAAATCTATACCGAAAAGATCTTCAAAAATTATAAAACTATTTATTTGAAAGAAAGTTTATTTTATAGGAAGGGAATGAATATCACTATGTGCCTTCACTTGTCGCCGATCTAGAGGCTCACAGTTACACATTTTGACGCGATTTTGTAGAGATAAATACCGTAGATCTACTTACAGAGCCAAAGTGCTGTGCTTTTCAGTTTGTTGATTTCTTCTTGAAGGATTGTAAATTGGTTGCGAATAGATGCTGCTTCATTCTTTTGGGTTTGATTTTCTGATTGAATGTCGCCAATTTGAATCTGNCGAATAGATGTTATTTCATTATTTTGGGTTTGATTTTCTGATTGAATGTCGCTGATTTGAATCTGCTGCTTTTGTAATTGAGCTTCTAGTTGTTCAATTTGAGTCTTTTGCAGTTCAATTTCAGTCTTGTGTTGTCCGAGTTCTGCCGCTTGTCGTTCAAGTTGAGCCTTTTGCTGGTCAACTTGAGTATTTAGTTGTCCGATTTCTGTCGTTTGTTGTTCAAGTTTAGTCTTTTGTTGATCAAGTTGAATCTTTTGTTGTCTAGATTCTGCCTTTTGTTGTTCAAGTTGAGCCTTTTGCTGGTCAACTTGAGTATTTAGTTGTCCGATTTCTGTCGTTTGCTGTTCTGTTTGTTTTTGGAGGTTTTCTATATCCAAACTTTGGTTTTCAATAACCCTATACAAGATATCGACCATTGGTCTTAATTTTTCGAATAAACACGTTTTCGTGTGTTCATCATGTTCGTTCCTCGATCCAAACCATTGACATCCAATATTCTTCCCTGGGCAATCTATTCGATATTCAGAACAGCTTGTCTTTATATGTTCATCAAAGGTTCCTCTATTTATATTTGTTTTCTCACAAAGCTGGCATCGGACTTTAAGTCTATCAAGCATTGAGGCGACAAGGCGCGGCGGAGGGTTTGGTGTCAAATGGTCAATACTCAATAATTGATTACACGACTGCGACGGGCAATGAGAACCATTTCCCATATCGTTTTCAATACATAGACGGCAATAAGTATCGCCACATTGAGTCACAATTGGATCAATAAAAGGATTATGGCAAAGTAAGCATATAAGATTTGAATCAATGCTCTCTCTATCGATATATTCGTAGAAACTACTTGATATCATCTGAAAATATGAAATGATCAAATTGAAAACAAAAAGAAATTACTTCTCCGCCAACTTCAAGTATCTAGTAATTAAACCGATGGCACATTCTGCGTAATGCCATCTCTTTTTTACGATACACAGCATAAATAATAACATCATCGAAAAATTCGAATAGAATATATACTTTTAAACTGACCGAATTCGTTCAGAAACTAGATTTCCTGTACAAAAGCTCCAGCTCACATATATAGCGACTACATGGCATTATATACGTTCTCACATATATATAGCATTTAGCTTTGAGTGGTGAGTTTTAAAAAAGTTAATCAGAAATATCTTTTCGTGAATGGTAACACTTGAGAATCAGAACTATTTAAATCTGTTAGTCGTTGTTGTACAAAACAAGGAGACTACAGTGCGTGGAATTTTTCTATTAGAACGTAAACTTGTATTGAATAAAAATTACAATAACGATAAAAGAAGATTAGCAACCACAACCTTAGTTTAGTATATTTGTTTCGAAGTTGCGGACTAGAGCCTATTGAAATGGCAAAAGAGTGATTTTATTTTTCAAAAATACCTTTTCGAACTCAATTACCTCTCGCTTACGTATATTTCTTGACTGTTTCTTACTTAAGATTATAGAGTTACAATTATATAACATTGTTCATGGTCGTGATGATCATTTTTTGCCAATTTAATATCAATCATCACATAAACGGGAATTATCAAGCTGTGCAAGATATCAAAAACGACTATGCATACGTTTTTGAATAGAGAACTCAGTGTCATAATATAATTAATATTCAAATGGCAACAGACAGTCATTATGCAGTTTTTCCATAGTATATGCTACTGTCGCTGAATAACTGTGCTACAATTCGCTGATTTTTCAGAATTCAGAAAAAACATTCCACAGTTTTCTAAACATCAAACATTTTCCCACACATACCGTTCAGCTACACTACTAATCTAATCAATCAAATGTCTCTTACAAATTTCTAGTTCTTGTCAGTCTTTATTTATGATATTCCATGCAAGACACTGATAGTCAACACTTACATTGTGTTGATTAGTGCGAATTTATTTATTTCTTCTTTACCCATAGATTCATTTATAATGAACTGATTAGAATATATGTGAAATTATTTTATATCTGCAGAGTTTGTTGTAATAACCGCAAGAAAAGTTTAAGGATTATCATGGAAAATTTGATAATCGTAATACAACAGATAATAGAGAATAAAAGATCGTTCCATGTAAAGTATATGAAAATCTATTTTACTAAAAAAACAATGTCTCACAATATTTTAAGCAACTAAAATTGTGTCTTCTCCGCTAGAATAAAGGAACATGAAAGAAAAAGTGAAGCATATGTGATGAATTCATATGTGGCTGCCCGTCAGGTTAATAATTACTTTAATTGTGTTACTGATTATATTCCACTAGGTAGTAAAAAATCTTTCAAAGAAAAATAATAAAGAACATATACTGACGAAAACAATATCGCTGATAATAGAAACATTTACGATCGAAATCTTACAAAAATTATTTTATCAAATATTGACTAATGAATAAAATCTTCTTACATTAATTATACCTGTATTTGCCTCCAACATTGATCTATTTCTTTTTGAATACATCAAATTCTAAGAACGGCTCATTGGAGGAAAGATATCAACTATTTCGACAAAGCACGCGTTTATATTTTCGAACTTCTATTAAAATGATCGGATAGATCTCCTTGCCATATGCAAAAAAAAAGATCGACAATCAATATCACTGCTAAATAGTTAAGCTATTCTGATGGAATACGTGTTCAACTCGGTGTCACATAATTTCGAAGAATTGGCGATTCTTCATGTTCCAAGATGTAGCTAAGAAAAAGCGATTGATCTCGTCAAGGAGTCTCAAAATTATCATATCGTTTGTATAACAACACTCACGCTTGCAAAAATAGCTAAGTAATCCTGTAAATTACACACAACACCCTGCCATAAAGAAAGATGATCATCTAATAAGAGCGTAAGATATTCCTTATATCCAAATATTCGATAAACTGTATCGATAATCGGGATAAATTACTTACCACAGTCAAATTGTTTCAACCAACAATAGTCGTAAAATTTTCAATGAGACTTCTTGTGTTGACTTTAACAAGTTTTATATATTGAGAAACTGTTTGTTATTTTCTTGAGTAGCTCGTATGTTGATTTTGGAAGATATCAACGTTTTACTGTTCTTATCTTCCTTAATTGTTTCTAGTTTATTTGATTAAGTCTCAACTGCACACTTATCAAAAGTAAAACATTGCAGATGATAAACATGCTAACAGTGAGTTTAAACAGGAAAAAACACACAAGTAAAGCTAATACGATATTCGAGTATTTTCGCTTCTGATTTACTCACCAGCTTGTGTTGGATAGAGGACTTCATTATCCATGGAATGGTTAGCATTTTTATGAAGATAATCGTGCAAAAAATCTGATTTACTTTAAGAAGTACTAACTTTTCCTTTTGTACTCAGCAGACACAAAACAAAGTATTGCTGCAACCAAACTCACTTACAGATCTGTTCTAGCTCACATATTCTCACGCACGTCCCCAGGAGAATCATTCCTAGAATCGGATCCGATCGAATTCGTTATGGGATTCATTCACCTGGGTATGGGAAAACTAAATTTCTCAATAAAATTTCTTTCAAAAAACAGTTTCCTATCGCTGTTAATGTATTTTCAATGAAAATAAACGCTTTCTATTATCAAAGTTTTGCTTTATGAAACTTTACAAGTCTCAGATGCTTCTGATTATTTCTCACTTTGATCATAAGATCTTCGAAAACTATATGAATTTCAAGTTTTCTGAACAAAGATAATGACAATGGGTAAGAAGTAGCAACGAATAGAAGTGTGCGCCGACATGCACGACCGAAAAACAAAAGTTTTAGTACCAGTAATCAGCGGAGTCGCATTTTTGATTCCGAAACCCTACCCGACTCCGAAAAGAACTTTTTTTCTCATAATTCAATAGTAATGGCCTCAAACAATAACGATCAAAAATCTAATTACATTCGTATATTGTAACGGTAACATTTATCTTTATATATGACGATAAGTAATCTACTTTCATACTAAATTTTGAGCTAAATGCGTTGCAGATACACATCAAGAACTGAACTCTACCGTAAAATAATCAATTTTATTAGGGTTACAATGTATAGTTGTGATCATATATTCAACCTTTTATTGTTTGAGACAATTACTATTGAGTTATGAGAAAAAACTTTTTCTTTCAAAATTTTTCGTTATTTCTGTACTTATCCCGCAGTCACGAAGGGGGATCGAAATATTTTTTCGTTTTCGAAAGAGCTATCTCTACCATTATTTTCAGGATGAAGTTCTAGTTTCTCTGAGACTAAAATTTTCACGAATGCAAGACTAAGATAGCTTCAATGATTGTTTTTCAATAGGGTAGGGTTTTCACTAGGTGAAAAGCAATGTTAGACATTTTTCGGACCGAGCATTACCCTTCTTTTTAGAATATTTTTTATGTTTTTGTGCAGAATCAAATTTTAACTTGAGTCGCTTAAATTGAAGAGATGAGATATAATATACTGCATAAAAGTAGTCGTAAAACATTGAAAAATTCTGTCAGTGCTCATACTTGTTGTACAGAATAACCCCAAAAAATTTCTCTGGGATTTCAAGGTGGTTTCTGTAAAAAAAAGTCTATGCTCGATCTTTCAACTATTCATTGTCAAAAAAAACTACCATTTTTTTTTTAATATCTGACATCTCTTTAAAATTGAAATATAAATCAAATCAATAAGCTTATACTGCGATTCGATACTTGATTTTATCACTCACTGAAAACAAGAGAAAGAAGAAATTTAACTTACGGATTTGAATTTGTACTTCAAAAATATTCATATTCTCATGAGAATAATCTAAAAAGTGATTTATGATACAATACATGTATAGCAATTTAGAAGTATTCTGAAATTTTTTCTTGATAAACTCACAAAATTAAAGCATGCATAAGTAGCGACTGAAGGAAGTCAATCAGAATCATTTAAAAATGTCAATACTAAATCAAAAAGTCGAAATATGCACATTTTCAGACAGCAAGTACTATCAAGTGTAAGATGATAGCGAACTTTTCTTAATCTTAAAAGTCATAAAAACGATGCATCTATCGTTTGAAAATATGAAATGCTTTTAGACTTGTTCATTGATACAGTAGGACTACTATGAGAATACGAAGTAAAATGTCTGTAATTCATGTTACTAATTTTCACAACTCTAATGATGTAATTAAACAATCAAATGAAAAAATACTCGTAAACAAATCAAAGTCTAAATTATCGGCAACTAATAAGAGAACTCTTGATTAGAACAGATAATAACTAGAAGATATATTTCATGTAAAACTTTGTCGACTGTTGGAATTATCATGGCCACGGTCAGTTTCAATTGATTGTTGTGAAAGCAATAATGCTTCTTCTTCTTTATTAATCAATAATTGTTGATAATGCATCAGAGTTTTTGACATATCACCAACATCAACTATGATTTTAATAAATATTGTATCATCGCGAACATGTGGATGAGATTTTTGTTGGATCATCGCCAATAAAAACAATTTAGCCGTACCACTAGAAATATTAATTTCTGAGCTAAGTCTTCGCAAACTATTCGATTTAACATTTATGTGATTTTGCAATTCAAGAGAAATTTTAAAATCGTATCATTTGTTAGTCTACGCATTTGAACAAAAAACAGTGACATAAGTGTACGTCTAGCAGTTGCCTGCTCATTTAATTAAAGTCGAACTCGTATCTTGTAGTCAGTTGGTGATGCATAAAATGGAGGCGAATAAATGACTCATTCACTGTATATTTTGAAATGAAAACAAGTTGTTGTTCCTCAAATCCAGTCTGGCATTCAATATTTTTCATTGATTGGATATTTTACTTTTGCTACCTAGTTACAATTGCATAAATTCCACAACAGAAATAAAATAAATATGACGCAAACTGTGACTTTGAACACAGATTTCGAGAAAGAACTCTGTCAACGACAAAGCTCTTTGCTCTGTTCTGATTTTCATCTCGATACCACTGATATGAAACACAATTACACGATTCGCTACCAATATGCTTCGACATAAATTAAGAATATTTTGCTATTTGTTTTGTTAATAAATTTAAAATTATTATCTAGAAGTAAAGAATCTAACTGACTCGTTTTTCAAGAAATTTCGTCCTTTATCATTTAAATATCATCAACAATAAAGCTTGTTGTTATCATTAGTGAATTACAAGCTCCTTATCAACAGTCTATTTGTGTGGCTCATTTTGTGCTTTAGTTTCTAATTGGTGTATCACTCAATTGAAGTGATATTATTTTCCATGCTTTCATTTACCGCATCCTTTCAGTGAACAAAGTACATTAAGTTTTGTTTGGATTCGTGAAGACGTGTCATGGAAAATTGAATCTTTCTCAGCAAAACTCACAGAGTTACTTCTTAATCCTTAAATAAACCATTTCATAAACATAATGAACATATTTGAAAGATCGATCGGGCATTATCTTTAAACAAAACAAAACGTTTTTTGAATAGTTGTGTCTGTTTAAGTTCATTGCTCCATAGTTATGTTTAACAAATGGATCAGTAGTATGGGAAACAGGATTATTTAATTGTAAACATGTATGTGAAGTCAATCGTTTAGTGTTAATCGATGTAATAAATCTAATGTTCGGATTAATAGAGCATAACAGATCTTTAATATATCAAATGATGAGAGTTGATCAACTCGAACAGGTTCATCGCATTTTAAAGACCCGAATGTGGTTGAACTAATTGATGAAGCAGGTCGAGTACTTGTTAATGTACTATTAAAATGACAAAGAATTTATTCTTTTAGAGTATCTAAATTTGAAAGATTTCAAAATAAGATCATGATTTTTCGATCTATTGTCATTATAGATAAATCGAAATTTAAACAGGCGAACGATGAAATCATTTGCTTTATTACTAAATCATTACTAAATGTAATTTTTGTATTTAAGGAATTTGTGAAAATAGATCGAACTTGATATTTTTTTTAATTTTTAATTTTATAAGAAGAGGGTTCCCGTTTCCCGAAGGAGACGGGAGTGGACCGAACTCGACGGCACTGCAGTTTCGAGACGATCCGTGGCACAGGTCCGAGTGAACCCGGGTGACCCTGGCCGATATCCAAAAATCTGCTTGAAAGAGCCTGGTCCCAATGGGACCAGCGCCGGCTTTCAAACCGACGAGAACAGATACTACACTTTGATCTTAGCCGAAAAGGCCGAGAAGCGATGCCTATCTTGGAGGACAAAAAAGCACGAAATCGCGGCTGCAACGGCACATTGCTCACTCCAAGGCTCGGAAAGAACAGGGGAAAAAATGAAACGCGTAAGGACAGAAGAAATATCGTGCCCCGCATCGGAACAAGAAAAATTGCTTATTACAACTTACCAAGAGGTAAATGATCTTTACTGATCAAATACATGTTGCGATGACGAAATCGTGCGGGTTGATGGCAACATCGACGTGCCAGAGCAACACTTTTCAATTAAATAAAAAGAGAAAAGACAATGATTCATTTTTGAAATAATGAAGAATAAACCATTCATAAAAGTAATAGAATTACATTTGTTTTTAACTGTTCGACTCAATACATTTACAATCACACAACATACTGCTTATTGATGTGGGAAGAGAAAGGTTCCAGAAAATCGAAACTTATAGTGTTAATGATAGAAGCAA